CGCTTATCCTACTGAGCCATCTCCCCGGCCCCGCTTTTGTATACTTCTTATTCACCTATGTTTAATTGTTTGCACTGTTTAGTGGGTTCTTTCCATTCTTATTCGTGGAGTTGTGGTCATTTTGATCCCTCTCTAGAATATCTTTTAAAACTTTGAAAAGAAAAAAAAAAATAGAATATCTTTTAGTAGTCTGTGTAGGGTTGACTTCGTCATCATGAAATTCTTTAGTTGTTCTTTGTTGTGGAAGTATTTCAATTCTCCATCAAACTTGAAAGGGAGTTTTGCAAGGTATATGAGTCCAGGTTGGCTACAGTATATTTTGGAGAGAAAATATACCTATTAACCTGCTGTTGCACAAAGGGGCAGCAGTGAAGAGCACATGACCCTTGAGTAGACAGACCTTTAGAAGAATGCATATGTGACTATAGTAGTAGATGAGGAAAGGAGACAGTGATTACTCAGCTACTACATGAATCTCTTTATTAAATTCTAGAAATTTCAGTTATAGGAATTAACTTACTTTATGATTGGGGGAAGTGTTTGTTTCATAAGAAGTAAAGATAAGTAGAAAAATCAGGGCCAAGGGAGATAGCTCAGTAGAATAAGTATTTACCTGGCAAGCACAGGGTCCTAAGTTCACTCTCCCATACCACAAAAAAAGAAAGAAAAATCAGTTCATAGGATAAATGGTCTCAAAAATGGACTACTTTGTTTTTAAATATGGATTTTGAAGATGTACCTGGTTTGATCTAAACACTCAGTTTTTTTTTAAAATCAAAGTTTCAGTAGAAAAAAAAATAAAAAATAAAATAAAATAAAATAAAAACAAAGTTTCATTTTTGAAAGCAAGGCGTGGTGTTGCATGCCTATAATCCAAGCATTTGGGAGGCTTAGATAGGAAGATTGCCAAGAGTTTGAGGCATCCTGGAATATGTACTGAGTTAATAGCCAACCTGAACTGCATAGTGAAGCCCTTTTCAACATCCCTTGTCCCCCAAAAAACTTCATTTTTAATTATTTTCATGAAATGTTTTTACAAGTCATGATTCATTTAACCTGACCCACAGTTTTAAGATCGGTAGGGCAGAATGATTAGGTGTAGAAAAAAACACTTTGAAAAGTGAATAAGTTCCAGGGAAGAATCGGCTTGATTTTGAGGCCTATATGGACTACATAGTGAGATCCTGTCCCCTAAACAAACAAAATGTTGGGCTGGGGAGATAGCTCAGTAGAGTAAGTGCTTGCCTGGCAAGCACAACGGCCTGAGTTCAATCCCCAGTTCCACCAAAAAATAAATAAATAAATTTGAATAGTTATTTTAACACAGTGAACCTAAGTAAAAGAAACTGTTCCAGGGCTGGGAAGTTGGCTCAGTAGAATAAGCGCTTTCCGGGCAAGCGCAAGGACCTGAGTTCAATCCCTGGTTCCACAAAAAAGAAAAGAAAGAAACTGTTCCAGTAGACCCATAGTAAGCAAAGTTGTATGATGTGAGCATAAGGACAGAAATAAAAAAAAGAATGAAACAGAGAAGCGAGTTCAAAAATAGATCTATAGGGACCAGGGAATTGGCTCAGTAGAATAAGTGCTTGCCTGGCAAGTACAAGGGTCTGAGTTCAATCCCCGGTACTGCAAAAAATAAATAAATAAATTATATAGTTATTTGACTTTTGAGAGCCATGGTGATTCTGTGAAGGAAGTAATAGGTTTTGTTTTGGCTGAGTTTTTTGTTTGTTTTTTGTTTAACAACTGGTTAGGAAAACCAGGCAAATACATTCAGTCTTAACAAAAATTAGTTTGAATGTAAACTAAATTTCAGAAGCTAAAACTGTAAATTCTTTAGAAAAAACCATAGATCTTTGTAATTCGCTAGAATAGGTAATAAGACTAATGATATCGGCTATTATTGAGAATATTGATGTTGAGAAAATAGAAGTAAAAATGCCTATGCCTTAACTTCTACTTTTCTTATAAGTTCTTGCCAAATATACTGTTACTTTTTAGGTTAGATAGATGTTGATGTCTCTATTACTTAGGGTTTTCCAAGGTAAAAGAATAATAAGAGAGTATGTATTTGTGTGTATATGGTATTGACTCATGGTATCAGAGACTGAATAGGCCCAAAACAACCATAAATAGGCTGGAAAGCCAGGAAAACAGGAGGCTGGATGCCTCAGAAAGGTGGATAGAGAGTGTGGAGAGATTGTGCAACCTCAGTCCAAGACTACAGACCTAAAACCCCCCTGGAGAGCTGCTGGTGCTGCCCTTTCTGTGTTCAAAAGCTGAAGAATCTAGAGGCTGATCTCCATAGTTGCAGCAAAAAACCTACCTAAGAGTCTAGCATAGACATGTAAGAGCCATCCCCCTTCTGTTTTTTCATCTGAGCCATTTAGCTAGTGCCACTCATATTTAGTAGAGATCTTACCTACTCAGTTTCCTGGCCCATATGCCAGTTTTCTGTGAAAATATTCACAGAGATAACCAGGAGTACAGTTCACCAGTTTTTTCCTAGACATCCTTCAACCTAGTGAAGTTGAAAACTGAAATTGACAATTCATTTGCTTTCTATCCTTTACAGCTAAAGAAGACCACAAAATAAAATAAAATTATATAGGCCAGGAACAGACTTCAGAGTGAATCTAGGGTTGTCAACTGGTCCTTACAGTTGTATAAATTTAAAGATGTAAACTCCTTGATCTCTTCATATGTAAATTAGTAAATTGGTATTGATGCCAAAGTTACAGTTTCAAAAAAAAACAAAGTTACACTTTCATTATAAGAAGCCAAGTAATAGGGCTGGGGAGATAGCAACATAAGCATTTGCTTAGCAAGTGCAAGGTCCTGAGTTCAATCGCCTGGAGCCATAAGAAAAAATATATATTTTTAAAGAACTATTTTAAGATGGAAATGATGGTGCAACCCATACTAAGGCAGAGGGATCAGGAGGTTTTAGGGGAAGGGTTGGGGTAATCGAACACAAGATGTTGCACATGCCCAGCAGGTGCTATGTCACTTGGCCCTGGTTCTCAGCATAGCCTAGCAAGGATTTAAAATATCCATTCTCCAGATCTAGAATACTTTATAGAAATAATAATGCTTTTTATTTTTTTTTAAATGTTTTTTATTTATTTATTTATTTATTTATTTATTTGAGAGAGAGAGAGAGAGAGAGAGAGAGAGAGAGTGTGGTGTGTGTGTGTGGCCAGCTCAGCCCACCAGGGGGCGGGGCTGGCTGGCATGTGGTGCTGGGGGATTGAACCGCGGTCCCTGATGCTTTGCCAAGCTAGTTCCAAGTAGGTGCTTTAGACCACTGAGCCATCTCTCCAGCCCCAATAATGCTTTTTAGAATAATTTTTAAAGCAGGGATCTTGCTTTTTCTCCTCTGTTGTAAGATTAATTTTTTATCTTGTAGCATATTTGTTGTACACGATTATGTTCATTGTTAGGAATTGATAAATGTTCATGACACATTTTAGTCCTTTTTTTACTCCGTCTCTTCTATCTTTTGGATTTTTTTTTATTTTTTATTTTTTTGCAGAACTGGGGATTAAACTCAGGTCCTTGCACTTGCCAGGCAAGTGCTTATTTCACTGAACTATCTCCCCAGCTCCTTCTTCCTTCTATCTTTTGGTCCCCTTCCCTTATGCAAAAGATCATCTCTGTTTCATGTTAAGTGTGAAGGTTTAGGGCTGTTACTTACAGGTATTGATGATTCCCCTTTCTCACAAACAATTGAAATGGCTGCCTTTTCTCCCCTCTAGTATAAAGAAATGAGTTAATAATTGAAAGTATAATTTTTTTTATTTTTATGTTTCTTTTGGTGGTACCTGGAATTGAGCTCAGGACCTTATACTTGTCAGGCAGGCACTTATGCTACTTAACCGTATCCCAGGCCCTGAAAGTATAATACTGAACTTCTCTAAATTAACTCAGAAGCTTATGTTACCCTTATACATGCACTTTTTTTTTACTCTTTCACATAATTTTATTTTTTCCCACCATAATAATATGATATACAAACTTTGTCTTAATTGGTGGGTCTGTAAACACAGGCTTATACATTCCACTCGCAAACAAGGCAAATGCTGCTTCTTGAAATGGTTGTACCATGAAGCCTGTGGTCATCCAACCCAGGTCACCCCCTTGCCTGGCTTTATCTTCACTATACTGTGCAGCCACTTCACTGAATCTAATCCCGGACTTTAACTTTCCCTGGCTTCCATAATTTTGCTGTTTTTCACATAGAATGTGTCAGACCTTTACTGCATTACCACCTCCTTTGGGGCCCTGAACCTTATCAGCACTGTCTCTCTCAGAGGCTGCTCCCCCTTCCCTCCTTTCCCAGAACCACTTTTTCCTTTGGGTGGCATCTTCGAAATTCCTATGTGTGCACTTATAATAGGGATTTCTGTCACTGTTCTGACACACAATCTGATACATGATTAAAGGGGCTGATATCTGTACTTTTGACATTTTAGTCACCTACAACCACTTTTGAAAAACACGGAGACCACCTACCCCGAGGAGAAGGTAGATTTGGAGTAAGCCGTCGGCGACACAATTCGTCTGATGGCTTCTTTAACAATGGACCTTTACGAACTACAGGAGGTGAGTTGTATCTGCTTTAATGACTGTATTTAAGCTACTATTCCAGGACAAGCACACACTGGGATGCATGCTTTTTGTAAACATCACAATTAGATCCTATAGTAGTGATTACCCCAGCTACATTGGTTTTGTAGATGTAACATTCGTTGTTACTATGAATCATCTTTTCAGTTGAAGGACCTTTTTAAAAAAAAAAAAATATTGTCTTTTCAGGGCCGGCCAGATAGCTCAGCAGATTAAAGTGACTGTTTAGGCAGATGCAGGGATCGGATGTTCGATCCCTGGACTGCTATGTGGCACGCGCCTGTAATTCCAGCGCTTGGGAGGCTGAAAACAGGAGACTCACTACAAGGCCAATCTGTTTAGTAAGACCCTGTAGACACCACCCCACCCCCCACCCCCGTACTAAATATGATTGATTGATAGATAGATAGATAGATAGATAGATAGATAGATAGATTAGATAGATTGATTGATTGATTGATTGATTGATTGATTTGTCTTTGAGAAGCGTCTTGCTATGCATTTCAGGCTAGCCTTAAGCTCACTTTGTAGCCCAGGCTATCTTGAACTTGCAAGGATTTCTCTTACCTCCGAAATGCTGGGATTATAGGAGTACACCATTACACCCAGTGAAGGACTCATTTAGAAGTTACTTTACAAAAGAAAGGTATATTTAGTGGGTTTTTTGTGTGTGAGCTTCTTATTGAAAAGGTCTCCTGAAGGCATTTTGGCAGTACCATAAACTAAATCAGGAAGCATCTGGCCAAATTACTTCTAAGTTCTCAGTAAACAAGCTAATATTTTACTTTTTCCTTACTATTCTAGATTCCTGGCATCAACCATCCCTGTTCCGCCATGATTCTGTGGACTCTGGTGTTTCTAAGGGAACATATGCTGGAATCACAGGGAACTTGTCTGGTTGGCACAGCTCTTCCCGGGGTCATGATGGCATAAGCCAGCGTAGTGGAGGTGGCACAGGGAACCATCGACACTGGAATGGCAGCTTCCACTCCCGGAAAGGCTGTGCCTTTCAGGAAAAGCCACCTACAGAGGTTAGGGAAGAAAAAAAAGAAGACAAGATGGAAAAATTGCAGTTTGAAGAGGAAGACTTTGTAAGTTGAAGCTTTAGATTTATAGCTAAAACCCAGTAGTCTTAAGTACAAGACCCTGTTAGTAATAATGCAAAAGAAAGCAGTCTCTATGTTTTAGATTTTTATTAATTTTTAGAAGAAATAAGCTATTAGCAAATCTCAGTTTGTTTTTCATCGTTACACCTTTGGAATTTGAATAAAAAATCTAATTTTCCTTAAGTTTTATGAAGTTCAATATATAAATATATTTTTATAAAAATGAAGTTTTGCATGTTAAACTGTATTTTCTATTCTATCATAAATTCTTTCTCTGATAATTTGCTCTATCTACAAAACAATTGTAATGTTATAAACATGCAAGTTTGAGTACTTTAACACTGCTCTATATTCATTAAAACTTGCTATGATGTGTTACATTCTTCTGACCTCTAAATCAAAAGTAGAGTTTCTGGAGTTCTTCTAAAATTTTTAATTATTTAATCAAATGCATTTAGAATACTATCATTTTAATATGCAATCTGTAACCATATCACTCATAGTTAATTTATGTTATTTTTCTGTGCTAGGTCTTGATTGTGTTCTGTGTCATGGTACATGTCAATACTGTATAGGTTATACAGATTGAGTATTTCACAACCTTTGACTAGAGCTACCTTAACAGCAAACTAGTTATTTTAAGTAATTTGTTAGCCAGTCTTCTTTAGTAGCCACTTTTAACAGTATATTAATAAGAAAAGTCAGTTAAAGGTGACTCGAATTTAGATATTAATCCTTTTTCTCATGTCTAGAAAATGTCTGAAGGTCCTTGATTTAGGTGACATGTTAATAAGAATTCCTGTCAATTTTTTTTTTTTTTAGAAGGTTTAGTTTTGGTGGGTTTGTTTGTTTACAACTATCCCCATTAAAAATTCAGTTTAAACTGAATTCTAACATGGATCCTTTACCAGATCTAGTTGAAAATGAATTGACCTAAGAAAAATGTTATGTCTTTACCTCATGAGTGACTTAAAGGGAAATTGGCTGTCAAAGCAAACCAAAGACCAGTTCAGGCAAACTATTTCATGTTTATATTTCTGTGAAATAATCTAATGTAGTATATACAGAGAAACTGTGGAGAAAATTTCTTGTGAAATACTGACTTTTTGCTTAATACGCTGTAGACTATTCTTATAGAAAAGACATTACAGATTACTATCGGTAAGGCTTCTTTAATCATACTCTCTTCCTTCTCCTTAAACACCATCTTTTTTTTTTTTTTTTTAAATGTGTTTGGTACAAGGTCTCATTATGCACCTTGGACTTGTAGTGATTTTCCTGTTTTCAGCCTTCTGAGTACTGGGATTACAGGCGTGCATCATCACTCCTGGACTGGGTGGCCAGCTCAGTGTGCCTAGCGGCAGAGCCCACGCAATATGCAGTACCAGAGATCAAACCCTGGCCCCTGTGCTTGCCTAAGCAGGCACTTAGTTTATTGAGCTATCTCACCGTCCCTATCAGTGCATTCTTGGTTTAAAATTCTTTTAGCAAAAAATAAAATGTTTCAACGTATGGCTTTATCAGGACATAACTCCCATTCAAAGTAAAATACACATGCATACATACACGTGTATACATACATAATTCCAACCCTCTGTCCACTAAGAGAATGAATTAACTCAATATCAATGAGCAACCTAGTACCTCAAAAGATTATGGTTCTGGCCACGTGTTGTATCATACACCTGTAATCCCAGCACCCAGGAAATACAGACAGGAGGATTACCCCAAGTTTAAGGCCAGCCTGTGTTATATAGTGAGACCCTGTCTCAAAAGAAAAGAAAAGTTGTGGTCTTAAAATCCTGTTTCTCTACAGGATGCTTAATAGATAAACTTGGAATATTTTTTTCACATTAGATAACAAAGAATTAAAAATTGCCAAATTGGTGAGGGCTCAGTACCCAGACATGAGACTATTTTAGACATCAGCTAACAATACCTGCAAGGAAAGTGATCAATGATATAGAGTGTGCCTAAGGAGAGTCACATGGAGAGAAAACATTCTCTCAGGCTTTCACAGAGAGCACATTGGCTAAGCAATGGCTGTGACTCATCCACATGGCTGACACTGACAAAGGTTCTACAGTCTGAGGTACAGGATCTCAGGATAAATCCTGAGGGGATTTCACTGACCTTATCAGACCCAAAAGCTACAACTCTTGATGCATAGGTCCTGCTTTACCTTGGTCTTAACCATCCAGCAGAAAAGTTTAAAAACAAAATAAAAGAAGTAAAGCCATGGTGTTATGTTGAGCTGTAGGGGACTCAGGTCAACAATTTCTGACATTGCCAGTGAAGTGGAAGATCCAATACTATTATGGACTACTGGACTCTCATAGAATATTTTGCTGAGTTTACATACCCATAATATTCAAATAATGGAACCAAACAAAAAAAAGAGATACAGATGAATGTCCATTTTGTATCTGTGTATTCAAAATGGTTAGAATAGATATATAGTTACATTCTCTTAATGAATAGAGGGATTTGTTCTGATAGTGTTTGTAAATAGGATATCGTGTCCGCATCTTGTACAACAGTTAACCACTAGGAAGAATGTATGCAGTGTGTTAATTATTGAAACTGTCCTACCAATATGGTTTGAAACTGTCTCATTGCTGTTTGTTTCTCAATAAAATTATGGGGGAAAAAAAAACAATACCTGCAAGGGTTTAACTTATATCAAATATGATTAGATCTTTGTAGTGTTGTTTTGTTTTATTTTGTTTTGTTTGTGGTAGTAGGGGATCAAACTTAGGACCTTGTGTTTGCCAGGCAGGCACTTATGCTGCTGAGCTGTATCCCCAGCCTGATTAGATCTGTAAGTTCATACTGAAACCTCCTCAACCTTAGGAACAAGCACATATTCTGGTTTTTTTTTTTCCCATGAAAATTGTATTACTGGGGCCGGGGAGATGGCTCAGTGGAATAAGCGCTTCCCTGGCAAGCGCAAGGGCCTGAGTTCAATCCCCGGTTCCGAAAAAAAAAGAAAAGAAAATTGTATTACTGAATCACCAGTAAAAATAATAATAATAGATGAGGAGTCATTCTTTGTTATGGAGGTTTAATAACTAACAAGGTATTCTAAAATTAGATCATGGCTTTGCACCTTCTATTATTTTTACCTTTTGAGCATCAATCTGTCACAAAAAGAACCAACTATATAAGTATCTACTGATGGAATACTACAAAGCCACCAAGAAGTTGTCTTGCTAAAAAGGGCAGGAGTGGGCTTCAAAGCTTCTAGAATGAACTACCAATTTTTAAGAGCTACAGGGTTTTGAGATTTTTTTTAAGTAAGCTATAGATTAAGTAGGTAACCTGTAAAAAGTGTTAAGGATGCCGGGTGCCACATGCCTATAATCCCAGCTACTTGGGAGACTGGGGGAGAATTGCAAGTTCAAGGACAGCCTAAGGAATTTAGTAAGACTTACCCACAAAAAAAAAAAAAAAAAAAAAGTTACGAAGGACAGTAGATGTATGTCAGCAGTAGACTGCTTGCCTGGAATGTACAAAGCCCTGGGTTTGTTTTATTTTATTTATTTTGTATTTTAGGGAAGGGTTTACTGGGTGTTCAGGGTCTCACTACTAGATCAGACTCCCAAGAGCTGGGATTACAGGTGTGTGCCACCACGCCCAGTCTCAGTCACCCCCAGGGCCAGCATCAGACCGGCAGGCCCAGGGATTGAACCCCTGGCCCCTGCTCCTGTTTGCAAGTTGCTTTAATCTGCTGAGCTATTTGGCCATCCCTAAAGCCCTGGGTTTAATCATTAGTACTGCAACAGTGAAAAGTGTAGAAGGGGGCTGGAGATGGTAGACAAATACAGATTTGTACTTGTATTCCTATTCTAATGGCATTCATACTGACTGAAAAATATATACTAGTGCCAGCCAATTATCTCACCAGATTAAAGCATCTGCTTAGATGCAGGAGCTGGAAGTTTGTTCCTCAGGCCTGCTGTGCCAGGCCTGCCCCTGGGGCGTGCTGAGAAGAGGATTGAGATGGGGTGTGCTGGCTTGCCTATAATCCCAGCACTTGGGAGGCTGTAAACAGGAGGATCACTACAAGTCCAGTCTACGCAGTAAGACCCTGTACACCCTGTCCTATCTGTCTATCTATGTAACCCTACAGGTTTCTGACTCAAAAGCTCTGTACTGGAGTCTGGTTATATTTTTGTTTCATGTCCCATAGGCAGTTATGTTCGAAGGCCACTTTCCTACTCTATTACCAGATTGTAATGATTGAGCTTAGACACCATTGTATATTTCTACACAATAGTCCAGTCAGTTGCTCTTAATTTTCCATCTTTCCCTTCATCTCTTCCTGAATTATGAAATTATTCTAATCTCTTAGTTGATATTTAAATGTATTATCCTTCAGGCTGCTACCAGTGTGGTTATTGTAACTTACTGATTATTTCACATTAATTTTGTGCTTGAAAGGTAGATCCCCTAGCCTAGGAAGCATGAGGTTCTGAGTTGGATTCCTGTTACCCCACCCCCCCAAAAAAAAGATCCCCTTTGCTTTTGTTTCTGTTTAATGTTTTTAGTACAGGGTCTAAGTAGATCAGACTTGTAGTGATTCTTCTGTTTCCAGTTTCCCAAGCGCTGAGATTACAGGTGCACACCACCACGCCATCTTGATCACAGTCTCAGCACGCCCCAGGGTGGGGCAGCACAGCACACCATACCAAGGATCAGTCCTGGTAGCTGCGTTCTGCCTAAGCAGGAGATTTAGTCCCCTGAGATATCTGACTCTCACTGCCTTTAATTTTTATTTTATTTTATTTTATTTTATTGTGGGGGGGGCAGCTCAGCCCACCAGGGGGTGGGGCTGCCTGGCATGTGGTGATGGGGGATTGAACTGCAGTCCCTGTGCTTTGCTGAGCTTGTTCTAAGTAGGTGCTTTAGACCCCTGAACCATCTAGCCAGGCCTCTCATTGCCTTTAAAATAAAATAAAATGTCCTTGAAGGCTCCTCCTCAATCTGGCTATTGCCTACTTCATTGGACATCTCTTTCTCTACAAAAGCTCACTTCTGCTCTATCAGTAATCACCCTTAACTGTAGATCTTTCAAGTCTTTTTCATGTTTGCCTGTTCATTGAGATCAGCTGTAATGAAGCTTATCCTAATAACACTTCTCTTACTTACTGCAATTATGTATTCCTTCTGGATTAGTTCCCGTGAACAGGTTTAGGTTCTTACTTGTCTACAAGTTTATGTTCAGTGTTACAGTAACCTTATGAGGACAAAGGACTAATCTTATTTGCCTTAGAATTCCTGTCATAGTCCCTGGCACCTGGTCTGCCTCTGCCCTAAACGTACTACACATTTCACTGACTAGATTGCACTTCTGAAATATGAAAAAAATGGTCCACCTTTAGCTATCCATACCTCCTTATTTGGCATACATATCCTGTAGAATTATGGAGACCTGAACATTTTTCCTGTATATTTAAAAAATAAATAGATCCTTCTTACATCAAAGGAAGTGGGACATAAGAGAGCCTAAAATTAACATAATACCTATTGATTTTGCAATTTAGCGTCTTCTGTTTAATTATAATTTCGAATACAAAGTTACTAAGTTTTGCTAATTTGTAATTATTTGATAAGTTCTATGATGATGGCTGCTTTGTGAAAAGTCCCAAAACGGTCAGCTTCCAGTATCAACCATTCATATCCTTTTTTCCCCTAGCCTTCTTTGAATCCAGAAGCTGGCAGGCAGACTCAGTCATGCAGACCTATTGGGACCCCTTCTGGAGTGTGGGGTACGTGGATTTTTCCCTTTTAAAGGCACAACTTTAAATAATTTTCTGTTGGGGAGAGAAGCAAAAATTAAATTGATCACTGTTTTGTTTTGATTTGATTTTCTTTTGTTTTTATTTTTGGTTCTGGGGATCCAACTCTGGACTTTGTCATGCCAGCTAAGGTGCTTGTGCCACCGAGCTATCTCCCTGACAACCACTGCTTTTTATCTCTCCTTTCTCATCCATTCATGCTTAGTAACTAACATTTAATAGTTCTTTAAGTTAGTGTTTACAAGGATAGCAGGTTGTTGTGCACCCCAAAATACCATTGACCTGTAATTTACTACCCACAGTAGTAGAGTTAGAATATAAACAATTGGAACTCTTCTGATTTTGGAAGCAGTTTTTTTTTTTGTTTTTTTTTTTTTTTTGTATTTAGGACAGGATCTACAGGGTCTCCCTGTGTAAATTGGACTCTGTAGTGATCCTCCTGTTTACAACCTCCCAAGTGCTGAGATTACAGGCACGCACCACCACACCCAGTCTCAATCTTATAGTGGCAAGCATGAGGCCCTGGGTTGGATCCCTAGCATGGGGCCGGAGTAAGATATGAAAGGTTATATCCTACCCCATTTCTTAATACACCATTTTGTTCAGCTAGATTCAAATGGTTTTATTTTTGGCAGGTACAAACGAAGCCTGTTATATAAGGCAAGGGAAAAATATAAGTGCACACATTAATATGTGTTTGTTAGGAATAATAAGACTTGAAAAAAAATTAACAGATAACCCAGCAATTGGAAGGCTGAGGTAGGACCATCAACCAACTTTGAAGCCACCCTGAACTACATAGTGAGAAGAAAAACCTTTTTTTTTTTAACTTTTGTTTTAGGGAAGGGTCTTCCGGATGTTCAGGGTCTTACTACTAGATCTGACTTGTGATCCTCCTGTTTCTAGCCCCCCAAAAGCTGGGATTATAGGGGCGTGCCACCACACCCAGTCTCAATTGCTATTTCAGGCCCCAGTCCCCCTCTCAGTAGACCCAGGGGTGGGACTGGCATAGCAGGTCTAGGGATCAAAGCCCTGGCCTCTGAATCTGCTGGGCTATTTGGCTGGCCAAAGGAGAAAAAAATTTTTTTAAAAAAAAAATCTGCTTCAAGCCAAATTGAATGTAGTTCTTTTGAATTAAGGATTTTTTTTTTTTTTTGGCGGGGGTGGGGGCAGGGGTGTTTGGCTCTGGCTGCCTTAAGGGCTGGTCTGGTAAGGCATGAGAAGCTGGGGATTGAACCTAGGTATCATGCACCTGACTGTGCATGTAGTGTTTTCATAAGCAGGCACTTGAACAACTGAGCTAACTGGCAGGCCCCCCTCTTTTGGGTTAAGATGTTTGCTATACCTTCTTTTTGTTAATGATATATTTTGATCTAGCTTGCCACATCAAAGAGTCATAAAGCAGATTTCCTTCCCCAATTACTTCATCTTTCTCTTATTTGCTGACAGAAGCTGCCACATTTGGATATATTCTGGTTTGGTCCATGCCTAAAGGAATACACTACACATTATTCAGGTTGTTCCCCTGAAGTGCTGATATCATTGTGCTTTATACCCAGTTTGAGAATTTACTATTAAATACTTTATATGCTTCCTTTTTCCTAGAGTTCCCAAGTAGTATCACTTTTGAAAGTAGCTGTTGTTTTCTTTTGTTCTGGTTTGATTTTCCTTTCTTTTTTTTTTTTTTTTTT